GGGCCTAAACCATGACATGATGTTACTGGTACTGAGCTTGTTTCTCTTGTCAAGGGCATATTGATATAACCATTACTGTTACATGGTGAATGCTGGTTGTCATAGAACAGGAAAGCGCTGGTTGTCATAGAACAGGAAAGCACTGATACTCTAGATTCATGCTTATGGCATTATCTTCCACACTCATTTGATTTAAATATAAAGCTTAGCTTATTTCTAGCCCTGACAGGTTATGAACTATTGTGTTGTCATACAGTTGTGTGCATTCCCTGACCTCTACAGCCATAACAAATGTTGCAAGTTAGAAAACTGGTCAGTTGTCAGTCTGGCAGCTCAGGGTGTTCCTCTCTAACCTTGACAGTTGAGAAATGTGGCAATCTAATCCTGTGGTAAAAATCTAAACAAAGTAGCTGTAGTTGTGTTCTTGAGTTCTTCATAGTAATGGAATGTTTAAGTAAAGCCCTAGGTTCTGTTCTGCCATTAGTTTGGGAGAGAAAGTAAGTAATTTCTAATTGCTGTTTTTTCTGATCAGGAGGATCTAACAAAACTTCATGTGAAGCAAGATCAGGACCTGGGCATTAGTGATTCCTCAGCTTTGTCATTCCCACAAGCACTACTTGAAGAAAAGAATCAAGAAATCGATCACTTGAATGAGCAGATGAAGAGGCTCCAGCATGAGCTAGAGAATACTCTGGGGAGTAAAGTAAGAGCACTTACTTTGTGTTCATTGCCTGATTTGGAGGGAAGTAAAGTATATAGAACCTTACCATAAATGAAATCTGTTTGATAATTCTCTGAGGAGAGCAGAAAGTGTTCTGATTAGCAACTAGCTGAAGTGTGCAATTCTTCCTGCTGTTAAATGTGTGAATTAATGCCTGCTTGATTCAGAAGAGAATTGTAATTTAAACTTCATGTTCAATAGTAATTCTGCCTACATACTGTAACATTCAGACCTGATCCCGTTGCCTAGGTTGTGGAACACCAGAAATCTGAAATTGAAGAACTCAGATCACTTGTTGAACACCTTCACAGTGACCAGGAAAGGCTGCGTAAGGACAAAGATGAAGAGGTAGAGCAACTCCATGGAGTAATTGAGAAACTTCAAAAAGAGCTGGCACAATTTGGACCAGTATGTCATGAAGTTAGTGACAATCAAGATGATCTCTATCAACTTGCACTGGGAAAGCCAGTGGAAAATCTTCAGAATGAGTTGAGGAAAGGACAGGGAGATTGTCAGGAAAATGATCCAAACAGAAGAAATGCATTGCTGCTTTCCAAAGTGAGAGAACTTCAGGAGGAACTAGAGCTTGTCTCAACTGCTAGAGAAGCTCTGCAGCAGCAACTAGAAGAGAGGGAATTGCAGTTCAAAGTGGAAGTGGAAATTTTGGATAAAAAATGCCAAAAATTAAGAGAGTCATCAGAGCAGCACATTGCAGAGCTAACCTCTTTAAGAATACAGTACAATGCACTTCAGGAAGAGCACAGCCTTTTCCAAAAACGTTTTTCTCAGAAAGAGGCTGAAGCAAGGATGACTTCTTCTCACATTCAAGAACTTGAAGATGCTGTTAGAGAAAGGGAAGCAAATATTCTAGAGAAAGATATGCAAATGAAGACGATGGCAGATCAAAGAGAAGCTGAGACAACCAAGTTGCAGTACTTAACAAAAAAGGCAGCAGAGCTTCAAACCGAGTTGGAAAAAAGAGATGCAAGTCAGGCTCAAGATGTTTATAGTCTTCAGTTAGAAGTTTCTAGGCTTGGTTTGCAAGTGCAAGCCCTGAATCAGAAAGAATTAGCTTATCAGAAAGAAATCAATGAGCTGCAAGGTAGCACTGCAAAACTGAAAGACCAAATTGAGGCCTATGTGAAAGAGCTTGAAGCCCTACGATTGGAAAGAGGTGAACTTATTTCACAGTTGGAGTTGTACAAGCCAAAGGAGCAACGTGATCATGAAGAGAATAACCTTTTCAAGACGTCCTGCCGGAGAGAAAGAAACGGCAAAGCCCTTAAAGAAGGAATGGAGGCATTGAAAGAACCGGAAGCAAATGTTGATCCATCATCTGCAGTGCTGGCTTCCCCTACTGATAAACTGGTATGTGATTTGTGTTTTAACAGTCATCTGTTTTTTAAAATAATCCAATGTTATGTGTCATATAAAGCTCCATAATGTATGCTTTTCGGTGCTCTAAGGATGAAGACGAATACTGTGGCATAAAAATGGCTGTGGTGAGTCAGTTGAAGGGTCTGTCTTTGTGTAGTCTCGCCAGCAGTAGCCAGAGGTAGATGCCTGGGAGGTCTAAGAACAGTGCAAGGATGGGTGGAAACCTTATCCACTCAGTTTTTCTGGTGTTGGATGGATCCTAAGATATCTCTCAGGTGTAGGAGGCAGGATGGTGGCAGTGGGGTGCTGCAGAGGAGCTCTATGAGAAAAGGCTGGGGCTGTTTCATGCTGGACACAGCTGAGCCCATCAGCCATGTGCATAGCACTGCCACAAAATCATGTTTCAGGGCAAAATGCTACACAGCCAGTGAGGAGCGAGGTGGGGGAAAAGTGTGAGAAACAACCCATGGAAGAGACCATACTAGAGCAGTTATCCACACTGCAAGGGAGGAGGTAGGGGATTTTGTAAAGAAGGAGGAAAATTGAGCCTAGAGAGAAAGGCAGGGCAGAGGGGAAGCTGTTTCAGTGTGTGCCTTTGTTTCTTGCCATCCAATTCTACTTTAATGGCAATAAATTAAGTACCTTTTCTCCAAGTCAATTCTGTTTTGCCTGTAAGAGTAATTCCTAGGTGATATCTCTGTCTTTATCTCCACACATGAGCTCTTACCATCTCATTTTCTCTCCCTGATTTGTTAAGGAGGGGGAGTGAGAGAGCAGCTGATGGGTGTCTGGCAGCTGGCCACAGTCAATGCATCACTACTTGTCCATTACTAGGACTAGGTTTGCTGTGCTTTATGACTGTCTTGGGGAACTACTTGAAAATGCATTTATCATATATAATCCACCTTTAGAAATCTGTATCTACTGTGACACTCTCTCATATCTGGTATCACTCATGGGAAAGTCCTACTTGCAAAGTTTCTATGATGTTACAGAATGTTTCCTATTATTTTGCCATTTTGCTTCATAGCCCAAAAATCACAACAGGATTCAGTTCTTCATTTTAAAACCTACTCAGTGGTAACAGGGTTTTTATTAGGCCTTTGTCTGCTATCTGTGAGATACACCAATGCGTTTAGGATGTATCTTATTTAAATTATATTTGAATGCCATCTCTTCTTATTTAAAAAAAGACAGGATAGTTACTAGTTACAAGTAAAATCACTTGTTTCTTTTTCAAGCAGAAATGAAGAGTGTAGCTATGCAAAATGTGTGATCATTACTGGTGTTTATATTTCCATTTGCTTAGAAGTTCTGGTTTGGATCAGTGCCATTTGCCTAGGTGATACTGCATGTTCAGGACCCGTCTGAGAAATCCCTCAGAAAAAGAGACCAGATGGGAATAGCATTGAATGACCTGTGCAGAATGATGTCCATTAAACCATTGAATGTGTGTATACAAGGCAGCATCACAGCGTAGCCACCTAACTTCCTATGTAGTTGTCTACTGGAGGAGGCTTTGAGAGGATTCAGTGCCTGAAGATTTAAAAACGGAGAGAGCAGGACAGCCAGACCTTCTGTGTAACTTGTGGAGGCATCAGAAGAAAAGCTGCAGCTTGGCATGCTCAATATATGCTCTGAAGTCTCCCTTCTGCCACAGAAGAGGCACAGCCTTTGCCAGGAGCATGCCTATGTCTACTTTTCCCTTAGGAGTGTCTGTGTTAATAGCATTGGTAGGCCCTGCAATTACAGTGAGTTGGACACTGGCCTTAGGGTTCCTTAATCACTTGGTGATGGCAAGTCCTACCACACTGGATCCCTGAGGTTAGGAGGATGAGAGTAAAGGTGTTTTCATGTGTTTCAGAGATGTTCTGTTTGGATGTCAGCCTCCAGGTGGGGTGAGTAACAGGTTCACAGGCTGAAAGACAGGGAGAAGGTTTGACTTCTTGACTTCTGGAGCAAGCAGGTGGACTCGTTGAAGTTGTTGCAGCTACTCTGCAACAACAGCCTTCCCATGATGTCTGTGACACATTTGCTTGTTAAAAAGAGTATTAAGGTCATAGGAAAAAACCCAATAATGTCAGGAGGCCTTGAGGGAAGAAAGCTCTTTACATAGAAATGCTGACTTAATGAGAGCCCTTGTAGCAAGGTATGCAGGGATGTATCTGCATACTCCATGACACAGTATTGACATTTTGATGTCTCTGCAGTTTGAAGGTGGAAGTCTGGTCTTGGCCTGTTTAGTGACCCTGCCTTCACACGGTGGAGAAAAATGCTGGAAAGGTTCTGTGGCCCTTCAGATACCTAAACCCTCAGGCTGGGAAATGGCTAATTGTGTGCAAGGATCTGAAGAACTGAGGAAGATGGGCAGCTGTTGTGTCCACGCTGGCTGTGTTTCCCTGTTGGCCCCTGCCAGAGGTGGTGGTTTGGCAGATAGACTTTGGTCTGACCTAGGGTGTCTGGTTTTGTGGAGTCAGAGTTTGAGAAATAGCCTGCAGTGTTGCTGATCAGTAGAGCCCTAAGCTTGTCGACTGATGCTTGAGGGAAGTAGAGGGGTTGGTGGGTGGAAGGGTAGAGAAGGGTCGAGTACCCCTGTGTGAACAGGATGCTAAAACATACAAGTATGGCTTTACCAAAATTTAGGTATAACGTGTTGGATTGTATGGCTGTCGGGATGTGAGAATCGATGTTGCTCTTCCCTCCAGTGACTAGATGTAGATGGTCTCCAGTTTCTCCTGCATTGGAATGGCAGGCATAGGAACAGTCTGTAGACTTCTTAATAACTTTTTTCCTGGTGCCCTGGGTCATGAATTAAGGCTTAAGATAATTCAGGAGATTTGTCCAGTTAGGAAAGCAACACATTTTGATTTGTGTTTATTTGAAAGTAGGAAGATTATCTACACAGCTACAAGGAATACTCTTTTTTTCCTGACTGATACAAAAGTCAGCTCTGAAGAAATACATTTGCTTATTGTACAGATATTTTTTTCTCCTACTGATGATATACTTGTTAAAAAGCTTGTTTAACTGGCATATAAAATATCCTGGACTGTCAGATCATTTTTATGTAAAACCTGGGAATAGTAAGATAGAACTATTAAATTTGAGAAATCTTTTTTAATGCATGTTTTTCAGCTTGTAAAGTCATATTTAAATTCTATTAAACAATTAATATGTGTTACTTCATTGTAGGAAAAAGATGAAGTTATGTTTGGCTTGACAGCTCGCAATATAAATCCGAAAACTCAGATTAAGCGATCATGTGAAAATGTCTTGCCTCAGGAATTGGATGTGATCAACAACTCTGAAGAGAAGCAAGATTTGAAAAAGCATTGCCAGCAAACGTTAGAAATTCATCAAACTCCTGATTCTTCAAAACCCAATTTGAACATAGGCAAAGATACTTTGAAAGACTTCCAGAATTTCATTGCAGATACGGCTTCGTGGGGCTCACCTGAGATTATGAGAAAGCAAGATATGAGCACAGAACTTCAACCGGTGCTTCATCTGACGCCCTTTTCGGAAGTTGGAAGCACCGATTTTGAAACAATGCACACCAGGTCATCCATGCAAGAAGATAATTCTGTATTGCTGAGTTATTCTAACCTGTATGAAAATGACAGTGAGGAAGCAGCAGTGGGAGCAGATAGAAAATCTCCAGCTTTCTCTGAAAGTACCTACTCTGTTGATGATGAGCAAGATATGGAGAAGAAGGTTTTGGTAAGTGATATTTCATACCTGATTTAATTCTAAACAAGACTGCTCAGCTCTTGCCCCCTCGGATTATTGTTGGGTCATTGGTGCCAAGTAGAAACTTGCACAACAAGACAGGTAGGTCCACTAACTTAATAATTAAGATTGGAAGAGACCTCTAAGATCATCAAGTCCAACCGTCAACCCAACACCACCACGCCTGCTAAACTATGTCCTGAAGTACCACATCCACCACCTCCCTGGGCAGCCTGTTCCAGTGTTTGACCACTCAGGAAATAATTTTTTCCTAATATCCAATCTAAACCTCCCCTGGTGCTACTTGAGGCCATTTCCTCTTGTCCTGTCACTGGTTACCTGAAAGAAAAGACCAACTCCCACCTCTCTACAACCTCCTTTCAGGTAGTTGTAGAGAACGATAAGGTCTCTCCTCAGCTTCCTCTTCTCCAGGCTAAGCAATCTCAGCTCCCTCAGCTGCTCCTCATAAGTCTTGTTCTCCAGATCCATCAGCAGCTTCCTTGCTCTTCTTTGGACAGGCTCCAGCGCCTCAATGTCCTTCTTGTAGTGAGGGGCCCAAAACTGAACGCAGTGTTTGAGGTGCGGCCTCACCAGTGCCGAGTACAGAGGCACAATCACCTCCTTACTCCTGCTGGCCACACTATTTCTGATACAGGCCAGGATGCTGTTGGCCTTCTTGGCCACCTGGGCACATTGCTGGCTCATGTTCAGTCGGCTGTCAACCAAGACCCCCAGGTCCTTTTCTGCATGGCAGCTCTCCAGCTACTCATCCCCAAGCCTGTAGTGCTGCATGGGGTTGTTGTGACCAAAGTGCAGGACGCAGCACTTGGCCTTGTTGAACCTTGTTAACGCTCTGGATGTTCCTCTCTCACTGTCAGCGCTGCTTCTAATAATTGAAAACAGTCTTCCAAACCCTAAAATCTATCAATGAGCTGCTTACAGCAACCCTTACATCCTGCATGTCTACACACTGCTGACGTGGTGTCAGTAAAAATATGGGTATTGCTCTTGCGCTCTCAGAAGGTTGGTTGAGAGGACTCTTCAAATGCTGGTACTTAGGGGTTTGCTAAAATTTGCACTAGTAACAAGTTGTTATAAATGCAGAATACACTACAGCTGGATTCAGAAAACTAAATTAATATGAACATTTATTTCCAAGCAGATGAGAGAAGCTGATAATTTAACCCCTTCTGATTTACAAGATGATGTAAGATCAAGAGTATCTGCCACAGATGCGATGAGCGATGGATATAGCAACAGTAAGTTTAACTTCTTTTGTAGATTCCTTTGACCTTTTGTTAACTTCAGTATAAAACTATTGTAACATTTCCTCTTTCTCCCATTTTCTTCCACTGTAGGTATGTCTTTTGTTTGAAAGCTGTGCCTTTTTCAGATGCTTCTTTGCTTAGAAAGACCTGTATGTTTTTGCTAATGGAAGTCTGCATTTACCTTTTCAACTTTATATATTGAAAAGGAGGCATGGGGTTTTAGTGAGTCCTGACTTAACTGCACCGCTTTCTGTGGTGCTAAAGGCAACTTACAGCCCTTTTACTTATTTAAGTTAGTTGAGATCACAACCAACCAAGTTCAGCTGATTGTACATTCATACTAGTAGCAGAAATCATGGTTATTTTGCAAATAGTTATGCTGGTTTCAAGTTCTTTTCATCTTTGTAACGCTTGTGGGTGCTGCCTCTCTCTGCAGATGACAGCTCAGATTTGGCAGCTAAACTAAAACAGGAGCTACAAACATCAGACCACCTGGATGCTAGGTTCGTGGCTTATCTGCGGTACTGTGGAATGTTTCCAGATATTATGGAATCAGTGAGAGAAAAGGAAATGCTTTCACCACAGCTGAAGGTAATATATGATTAATATAAACGTACCAGCAAACTAAAACTGAAACAGCGGAAATGAAATGCTAATGTAAAATAGATTTAGCTGCTACTTTACACTGTGAACTGTTCTGTAATGGTTTAAACTTCAAGTTCATTATGGTTCTTGAGTAGTTTTTGTGATTCAGATTTGTCATGTGACAAATTTACTGACAAGACTGCTTGTACTTGCTAGAATTAAAAAAGTTTTGCTAGGACAGCACTAGTGATGTTCCAGAATGTTGCAGTACGAGGACAAATTAACCTGTTTTATGGGTTTTTCTTGGAGGCTTCACAGAAAGCTGTTTTGTAAGTAAGCATAGTTAGCTGACATCATGTTTCCCTGCCTATTGTGGTCATTCTGATATGATGGAGAGCTGTGGAAACGCCACTGCAAGGCGTGGCAGGGTCTTTCAGAGTCAGTTCAAGGAGTATGAAGAATATTTACAGAAGACTAAGCAGGGATTGCGTACTCTAGTCAGTAAGGGAAGTTTAGGAAAGTATATGGCTGGGACTCTTCATTTTGATGCAGTAGCTAAACAAGCTCTCAGCCATTCTAGGAATTCCAGCTGGTGAACGGGAGAAATTCGGTGCTCCAAATCATCTCATCTGTGAGGCTGGTGAGAAGTACATGGCTAAGTGCAGTGGGCTACAGGGAGTTCAAATACTTGAAGAAACTTTAGTAGTAAGAAATTAGAAGGAATACATTTCTTAGGAAGTGAATGCTCTCTCCTAAAATGTTTAGCAGATTCTTTCAGCTTGCTCAGCAAAATGAAGGAAAATCTGTGCAATGAAGGAAGGCTGTGAAAGGGGAAGGTAAGCCTGAACTCCAACTCAAGCTGACTGACAGAAGTAACTCACAAGATGGAGAATGGGCCTTCATCTCTGCTCAAGGCAGAGGGAGAAGCTTTCCCCCATCCTCTGCAGTGGCTCTTCATAACAGACATGATGTTCTGGTGTTGGAGAATAAAGGGCACATTAAGTAACTGACGTGATCCAGGAAAAGCCAACCGTGCAGAGTTGATGGAACCACCCACTAGCATTAGAACCAGTGCTGCCAGAAAAGCACATAAAGCATTAGTATCTGTAATTAGTAATTCTTCTTTGTCCTCCCAGTCAGAGGAAAGGGGTCCAGGATGGAGGACAAGACCAGGTGAATGCCTGGCTCTAACTGGGGCTATAGTCAAGGTTTTGGTTTCTATGATCATGGATCTACCTTTGAGAAACCAGGTCTACTGGGAGCTGATGCGCTTCACCTGACCAAGTGGGACAAGAGTGTCTTCACATTCAGTTGGCCATACCTATAGGGAGAGCTTTAAATTGGACTTAGCTGGAGAAGGGGATAGAGTTTTGAGCAATAAAGAGCAGCCAGGGGCTGCTACTGTATTAGGAACCAACAGGAAAACACCTATGAAATGCCACAAAGGAAGCGGGGCATGTTCCTTCAGAAAGGTGATACAGTCGACAGCCCAAGTGAATGCTTCTATACCGATGCTTTTAGCGTGGGAAACAAGCAGGAGGAGTTGGAAGTTACTGTGCAGTTTAAAAGGTATGATCTAATTGCTATAACCAAAACGTGGTGGGACAAATCACACGATTGGAGAGATGCAATTGATGGCTGTAAACTGCTCAGAAGAGACAGGCAAGGACAGAGAACCAGCAGGCTTCCTCTCTATGTTAAGAAAAAAATAAATTGATTTTACAGAGCTATCTTTGAAAAACAGAGTAGAGTCTGAATATAGGAGCACAAACTTTCAGTTGTCTAAGGAATGTGTGGATGGGACTTGTGGGAAACTGCCCTCAAGGATAAAGCAGCAGAACAGAGCTGGCAGCTATTCAAGGACATCTTTCTTAGAGCACCAGAGGTTTTGATTCTTAATCAAAATCCTTAATCAGGAGACAAGCATGGCTGAGTGGACCCCCTTGTTGAACAGAAGTGTGAGAAGAAAATGCACAGACAGTGTAACCAAGGATTCATATGTAACATGGGAAGAATATAGGGATGCTGCCTGGATGTGTAGGGATGTGATCAGGAAAGCTAAGGCGCAGTTGGAGGGTAATTTGGCAAGGAATGTGAGGAAGAATAAGAAAGGCTTCTACAAGCACGTTGGACAGAAAAAGAAGATTAAAGAAAATGTGTGTGTAGACACACACACACGATAAATAAGACAGGAGAACTAGTGACAACTGACGAGGCTGAGGTGAACTTTTTTGCCAAGGTTGCACTGACAATTACCCTTCTTACATCTTAAGTCCCTGAACATCAAGGCAGGGACTGAGGGAACAAAGTCCCTCCCATCATAAGAGAAGATAACATCACCTGAGGAACCTGAACATACACAAGTCCATGAGACCCAAAGAGATGAATCCCAGGGCCCTGAGGTAATTGACAGATGTAGTTGCTAAGCCACTCATCATCATTTTTGAGAAGTCATGGCAGTCAGGTGAAGTCCCCAGTGACTGGGGAAAAAAGGAAACATCACACCCATTTCTAAAAAGAGTAACAAAGAGGACCCTGTGTCCTGGTTTTATCTGGGATAGTTAATTTCCTCATAGTAGCTAGTGAGACTTTGTTTTGGATTCATGCTAAGACAATTTTGATATGGGATGATTTGTCTTTTGCAGAATAGTGTGGGAAGATGGGGAAGTAGGACATGTACCTCAAGGAAATTTAATTCTGGGTGATTCTTATTGCAATAGATAACTAGAGACACCCTGGGAACTACTGACCTTTCAGCCTCATCTCAGTGCCCAGTATGATTATGACACAGATCTTCCTGGAACATTGAAGTGTATGCAACACAGGAAAGTGATTAGATACAGTCAATGTGGCTTCACCAAGGGCAAATTGCACCTGATTAATCCGGTGACCTACAGTGGAGTGACTGTATTGGTGGACAAGGGAAGAGCAAGTGATGTCATCTACCTGGGTTTCTGTAAGGGTTTTGACATGGTCCCACACAACATTCTTGCCTCTAGATTAGAGAAATATGGATTTGATGGGTAGACTGCTAGATAGATAAGGAATTGGCTGGATGGCTGTGTCCAGAGAGCTACAGTCAACAGCTCAATGTCCAAGTGGAAACCAGCAATGAGTGGTGTCCCTCAAAGGTCTGTACAGGGACCAGTACTACTTAATATCTTAATTAATGCCATAGACAGTGGGATTGAGTGCATCCTCAGCAAGTTTATGAATGATACCAAGTTGAGTGGTGCAGTTGGCTCATTTGAGGGAAGGGATGCTATGTAGAGGCACCTGGATGGGCTGGAACAGTGGGGCCATGCCATTTTGAGGGAAGGGATGCTATGTAGAGGCACCTAGATGGGCTGGAGCAGTGGGGCCATGCCATCCTCATGAGGTTCAACAAGGCCAAGTACAAGGTCCTTCCCCTGGGTCAAGGCCACCTCCAGTATCAGTAAAGACTGGAAGATGAGTAGATTGAGAGGAGCCCTGCAGAGGACTTGGGTACACTGATAGATGAAAAATTGCATCTGAGCCAGCAATGTGTGCTCACAGCCCTGAAAGCCAACCATATCCTGGGCTGCACCAAAAGAAGTGTGGCCAACAGGGCGAAGAAGGTGACTGCTCTACTCTCCTCTCCTCCCCTCTACTCTGCTCTTGTGAGACCCCCACCTGCAGTGCTGCATCCAGCTTTGGGGCCCCCAGCGTAAGAAGGACAGGAGCATTGGAGCAGGTCCAGAGGAGGGCATGTCTCCTGTGAAGCCAGGCTGAGAGTTGAGGTTGTTCAGCCTGGAGAATGGAAGGCTCTGCAGAGACCTTATAGCAGCCTTGTAGAGGCTCGTAAGAAGCGGAGTATTTTTTAATTTACTTTCTTTCATGAATCATCAACCTAGTCTCTACTGGCTGTAAGATCTGAGTGCATATTCCAGTACTGAATGTTTAGTTTGAACACTTTGGTGTGTTTCTGTTGTTAATGTTTAGTAAAGTTTTTTACCGTTTAGCACTGGTTCTTGAAATGATCGCTATTTTGATTCCAGTGACAGAAAAGCAACTCAAGATGGTTCAGAAGTTAAGTCATTCAAAAAAGTGCAAAGAAAGAATATCAAGAGTTAAGGAAAAGTACTGTGTATTGTTGTTGTTAAAGCAATAGCAGTGAGAAACAGCTCCACAGTAGGGCTGGGATATTTTTGATGAGATGTTTGTAGACAAGGACTTAAATCTCCAGTGACCTTCCTTGAAAAGAGACCAGGAAACATCTGTGCATGATGTAACAGATTGTGAACAGAGAATTTATTTAGAAGAGATTATTCTTCCTGACAATATCAGAGGAAACAATTTCCACTGTATAAATTATTAAGGCTGATTATTTTGGGAGATGTTATTTGTACATAGTATGCCAAATTAAGCCAAGGTTGCCTGAATATATAATCCAGTTTTCTGGCATGACTGGAGTTTATAACGTGGCTTCTCAGACTTGGTAGAATTTAGTTTAATTTATTCCTAGGAAAGTGAGCTAAATAGTTCAGAAACAACAAAAACAAAGTGCAGTCCTTTGGCTTAGTTGCATGCTAGCACATTGGTGTACACATCAATAAGATATGCTGTCGAGGCTGCCATTGGTACTTTAACATTGTGAATGCAGTATTTAAGAATACAGTGGTCTCCATTCTTGAATACTGAACTCTGTTGTTAGGAGCTAAAAACTGCCTGGTAGCTGTTGGCTCACTCTGTACGTGTATATGTGTATTCTTAGTCTATGAAGCATGCCAAGTAGCAGGGCAGACCTGCGTGCCTTTGTCTGTATCACACCCTTCTTGTTTTTGTTGTCTAGTGCTATCCCATCACACTCTTACGCTGTCAGAGTTATGCATTATGTTTTTTTGTCTTCTCAGGCTGTGCTGAAGATGGTATACGAGGAGAGCTGCAAAATATTGGCTTTGTCAGAACATCCCTTTGGTTTTACGGAGCTGAAAAATGTTCAGCAGACCAGAGCAGCGATGGAGGGATGGCAGAAGGAGGTCTTAGCCTTGCTGGATGCGATACGGTCGCTGAAAGATTACCTTAGCAGGGTGGCAAATAGCAAAGAAAAGGTATGACAATAAAAATGTCATTTAAAGCAAGATAACCAGTTTTTTATATAGAGGAAAAATGTATATTATTTTGTCGTTAGTGTGTGCGTATACAGATAGATCGATCGATCTATGTATGAGAAGAAAGGCACTCTTTCCTTTCTGACATTTGAACAGACCTCTGGACACCTTTGGTCTGCTTAAATTAACAGATTGGTATACCCTTACAGAGTAGTGACAGGAAATACAGTGGGTTAGAGATTGAGAGAGATGCCATTTAAAAAAAAATATTTTTGACAGGAATTTTCAGGTATTGCTGCTGATTGGAGAGGAGAACTTCTGCAAGCAGTACAGAGCGTGTTTGAGAAGGAGAGAAATATGTTGCAAATTGACTTGAAGTCTCACTTCTCCAATCCTGGGTCTGGTGATGAAGGTTCATTACTGGAAAAACTTGAGTATATCATGAAACAGCAAGTAAGGAAATATCTTGCTATTATGTTCATAAATCACTTCTTCTATTTCCCCATATTCTTAAATGGTTTTTACAGTTCTGTTACTGCCGTTGTTTAATCTTACCTTGTGCATTAATCCAGATTGCGTGGGATCAGTAGGCTTTTATGATCTGTATTTTGGTACGATTTTTCTCAAACTTCGTTTATTGTGTTACAAAGTCAATTGAATATTTTAGCTGGCATCCAGAAAGATTGTGACAGTGAGAAGGAAATACTCGATAAAAAGGGACAAGGGGAAGAATCCCATCTAGAGCTTCACAGACTTATCTTGCAAAGGGTATATATTAAGCAACCTCTGAATCTGTTTGGGATTTTTTTGCTGATAATATCCAGGTTTTAGGTTTACACAGCTGGTTTGTAGTAACAGCCTTGTAGATTTAATAGAACTTGTTTTGTTTTCAGGAGGAGCAGAGGCAGTTGGTTGTAGAGCACCTTTTCTCCTCAGACCGCAATAGCTTGCTCTCGGAAATACAGGACCTCCGAGCTCAGCTACGCATGGCACATCTGCAGAACCAGGAGAAGCTACAGCAGTTACAGGAAACCCTTACCAACGTGGAAGATCATGGGAGCAAACAAGAACACCAGCTTCGGAGGAAAGGTGGTAATCGCAGAGTTCTTGTTATCTAGTCTTCTACATCAGTTTCCTTTTTTGCCTAGAAGATAAAAGGCAAAAAAAAAAGGACTTACAAAGAAGCAGATGCTGTACAAATCTTCAGTTTTGCTAATACACTCAGGCTTCTTACGATTTTAGCAGAGGAAGGAATTTGTTGTAATATTAGAAGTTAAGAAAAATCTGTGAAAATCAAAGAGAAGCTTTAAAATAATCCAGTGCAAGAACTGAAAGGTGACTCTTAAATAGTGTATACACATAAAAAACCCATCAAGGGTAGTAAAATACCCTCGTTGCCCTTCAGGAATTCTATAGATCTTAAGTTAGAAATGAATGGATGGATTTGCTTAATGAGGTTTAGAATCCATCAGTAGCAGGCTGCTGACAGTATATCCCAATGGCTCTCAGTCTCATGCAGCTTTCATGTTCTCAGTTTGCGTGGCCCACTAGCAGCAGAGCTGCAGTGTGTATGTGCATCTTCCTGCTGATTCATATCTTGTTGGAAAAGAAACTAGTTCTCCAGACAAGAGTACTTTAATACAGCTGACTTCTTTTTCCCCCAGTTTGAACCAGTGTAACTGTGATAACATATTGTCAAATTTTCTGTAATACAAATAACCGTTAACATTTTCTTATCCTAGTTGAATTATTAGAATATAAGCTTCAGCAGGTAAAATCTATCGTAAGTGACTTGCACAGCACCTTGTCTGAGGACAAGAAGAGAGCCTCTGAAACATGTGAACTCTTGAATCAAGAAAAAGCAGCCCTGAAATCAGAGCTTTATGAAAGTAAGCAAGAGAATGACAGGCTGCAGAAATCCCTACAAGAGCTTCAGAGGGAAATAAACCAGTTACGGTGAGCGGTAGATTTATTCAGTTATTTTATCTTATTTATCAACAGGTCTGAAAGAGTCATTGGATCCACTTGGAAATACAAGGAGGAAAACTAACCTCTCTCACTTCTCATGGATATGTTCATTTTTCTTTATTAACTGCTTAAACTTTTTTTTATTCTTAAATTCAAATCTGCACACTTACCTTTTCAGTAGCTTTGACTGAGAAGATTATGGAAACAAGTGCGTGTTGTACGGGTGTATAAGTGAGCAGACTGGATCTCTGTATCCCTGATGTACCCCACTCCTGCAGCTTTTGTCTTGTCTTTTGGTTGGGAGTTCTGTTTGCCTTTCATCTTCTGTATAGTTTTTGTCTTCTCCCTCTCACCTCCAACCTTATTCCTAGTGTATGCCAGTGTCTTTCCTCTCACAAGACAACAGTTTTGCTCTGCCAGGATAGATAACTTCTCGCTATCTCTCACTGTTACTAAACAGAGTAATGCTAGCTTTGCTTGATGGGAGGTGAATGTTTTCAGATGCTAAATAGCTGTGATTTTATTAAAAAATCAGAAACAAATCTAAGAAACAAATCAATAGACCAACTCACAAAAAGTAACCCAAAATGTGTTGTTTGCATTGCTGGTGAAGGCTGTTCTGTTCTGCACATAGACAGAAGTGTCATTTTGAACTTTGCAGCTCTGAATTGGAGAGAAAAGAAAAAGCTTTGACAGCTGCGCTTGAAGACTTGCAGACAGAACGTCTGAGGAAAACAGAGCTACAAGGTTTGTTTGAGGAACAACAGCTTCAGCATAAGAAAGCAGAAGATGAAAAGACAAAGGCTTTGGAGGTAATGCCCTTCATCTCAGTGCTTCAGCTCACCTCCCTTGGTGCATGAAGTTAACAGGTTCTTTTTGCAGTCTTTCATGTCCAATGTTTTTTGTTTAATAACTGTTTTAAAAAGACCAAAACAACCCTAACTTTTACTGAATGTGCATAGTATTTATTTTGTTTTCACAGAATTAAAGCTTTCAGTTATCCTCCGTAATTGCACATGCAGAAATAAAAGATATACACTTTTTGGAGCCTGTTGTGGTTCAGGGCTGGGCTGGCCCCTAAATCTTGGACAGACGCTCTTACACTTTCACATTCTTGGGATCAGTTTTGTACTGTC